CTCAGCCTCAGTCATTGATCTGCAGCTCCCTCACTATCCTGTGTGTACCTACCCTTTATGGCCTCTGCTTTCTAGAACATCTTGCGGTCAGATGTGCTCTTGCTGCTTTCCCAAACTGTTGTCAGAGGTCACCAGAAACCTCTTGGTCACCACACTTGGGGTCTGTAACAGGCGTCATCCCCATGTTTCTCTGCAGCATTTTAAACCATTGCCTTCTCCTCCCCCCAAGTTTCTCACCTTTCCTTCACCTCCTTTGCCCTCCCTTAATGACCATATGTTTTCTTATTTCTCCTCTTCTGTCTTATTGGGTCTTTACTGTGTTTTTCAAGCATTCATTCTTAGCTTTTTTCCTCTTACTTCACTCAATAGTCCCAACCACTTGTGGTGACTTCCGCCCTGTCATTTCAGAGGGCCTCTTCTCCCTCTAGCCCTGCTCTCTCTAGAGCCCCAGTCCTATGTACTGTCTCCACCAATCATTTCTACTCAGATGTCCTAGAGTAAACGCTTTCAACTCACTGTGTCCAAAACAAAACTCTCTTACCAAGCCAGTTTCTATGCCTCCTCTCTGGCATTCTAGGACCCTGCCTTTATATTAACACCTAGCACATGGCAGTTGCTCTGCAAATATGACCTGAAGAAGTGAGTGAATTCTTCCAGTTACCCAAGCTGGAATTCTGAGACTCACCTTTGACTTGGTCTTTGTGGCTGACCACATCCAATCTGCTGCCAAGTCATATCTGGTGTATCTTGTAGTCCTTCCTTCATTTCCACTGCAGTAGGCTCTTTGCTGATCTTTCTTTCTCCATGCCTTTCCGTTGCTAATCTTTCTGTTATATTGCTACTAGAGCAGTCTTTTTATTTATCTATTTATTTATTTATTGTGTGTGTGTGTGTGTGTGTGTGTGTGCACGAGGAAGATCAGCCCTGAGGTAACATCCGTGCTGATCTTCCTCCACTCTATATGGGATGCCGCCACGGCATGGCCTGACAAGCAGTGTGTCGGCGCGCGCGCCCGGGATCCGAACCCCGGGCCGCCAGCAGCAGAGCGCGCGCACTTAACCGCTATGCCATAGGTCCAGCCCCACTAGAGCAGTCTTGACTCCCAGGCCTAATGATGGTGATGATGATGATGATAACTGGTACTTATTGAACACTTACTATGGGCCCCACTATTTCTAAGTGCTTACATGCATTATCTTTATTAAATCTATATAACAACCTGTGAGGTAGATACTGTAATTATCCTTATTTTATAAGTGAAATCAAGGCCCAGAGAGTTAAGTGTCTTGTCAGGATCACACAACTAAATGGTGGAGCTGGAATTTTAATCCAAGGTCTCTGATTCCAGAGTCCAAGCTTTAACTGCTATGCTGTTCTTCCTCCCACAGAAAACATCTTAACATAGTTCATTACAAGCACAACTGGAGTACCATTTAACATTCAGTACACTCTGTGAGCTGACCCCATCTCTTGTTATTCACTTATATGCCAAACTGAATTCTTCAGTTATCTATATATTCATACCCCTCCCTGTAATTTTATCCATTCTATTTTTTCTGCCTAGAATGCTGTGTTCACCTTCTGCCTGTTCATCTAGATCCAGTTCAAATGGCTTATTTTCCTTTGGGTCGCCTGTTATTTATCTCCCCCACGTAAGATGTTCTCCGAACTGCTGTTATGGCACTTAACACTTTTACTTCGTATCATAATTACTAGGTTTTGTGTTTTGTCTCCCCTGGTAGCCTGTAATCTTGATTGCAGCATCTATGTAATTTTTTTTCTGTCCCCATGCCTTGTACAATGCATGCTTTCAAATATTTTTTCTTTATTAAATTTCTCTTCAAAAAATATTTGTTCAATAAGTGAAGAATTTAACCGTTACTCATAGATGATTAACCACAAGATTTTTCTGTATGTGTTTTTTTAGTGTGGCATTTCTCATTTCCGTATGGTTCCATAGTTTATTATACTAATGTACAATATATATATAGAAACAACTGCTGAAAATTTTTATGATCTGAGGGGTTTTTTTTTTGAGACAGTTTGTAAGGGTATTTTCAGATACTTCAATTTGAACCTTTTCATTGAATCTAAGACATACGTTTTTCAGATACTAAGATCTCCAACATAGAAGTTTATTTTGGTTTTTCAATCTCCCTATAAAGTGATGATGCTTTAAAATCAAGGAAATGTGGTAAATATAATAAATAGTGACGTTTGATTAAATGCCCTTTTGGAACAATATCTACAATTTGGGTTTTTGTTTATATTCCTAGATGATAGGCTTGGGTGTGTAGATTATCTTGTTATTTCTTATTTCGTTGCTGCTTAAAGGCTTTTAAAATGAGATGGTAAGGGGTATGAGTTTTGTTTTTATTTTTTTTTTTTAATTGGGGGAAGATTGGGGGAACTATTTTGTTTGAATAAGTAGGGTTTTTAAAAGTAGTGCGTGGGCCGGCACCGTGGCTTAGCGGTTAAGTGTGCGAGCTCCGCTACTGGCGGCCCGGGTTCAGATCCCGGGTGCGCACCGAGGCACCACTCCTCCAGCCATGCTGAGGCCGCGTCCCACATACAGCAACTAGAAGGATGTGC